TTTTTGTTTTTTAAGAGTTTTTTTTTTGCTTTAGGGCATGCACTTGCTGAAGCCGGCGTGAGTTTTAAGCCACCGGGTGCAGGACGCGAACTGCAGTCGACTACATGGGAGTCCAGCGACATAGCCATTACGCTAACTGCAGGTCCCTACCCTTTTTTATTTTTTAAATTAATTTATCTTTTTTTTTCTTGAGAGTTTTTTTGCTACAGGGTATGTGCGCTTGCCAGAGAGACAGAGAGAGACAGAGAGCCCTAAAGAGAGAAAGTGAGAAATCACCCCCCCCCCCCCCCAGGGGATGGCCACGCCACAATTTCTTCTCCTTCATTATCCTCTCGGGATCTTGGGCATGCGGGCACATGCGCCCGGCATGAGTTTAAGTCACCGGGTTCAGGATTTGAACCGCGGTTGACTACATGGGAGTCCAGCGACATAGCCATTACGCCAACTGCTGGTCCCAATTCTCCCAGGATCTTGAGCACACATACATGGCCTATATGAGTTTCAAGCCACCAGGCTGGTGTGGTGCTCAAACCACAGTTGGCCATGTGGTAGTCCAGTGATGCAACTTCTATGTCATCTGCTGGCACCCACAGGAATACTTTTTTTTTTTTGGAGAGGTTTTTGCTATAGGGCGTGTGCGCTTGTCAGACAGACAAGAGAGGCAGAGAGACAGAAAGCAAGAAATTATCCCCCCAGGGGGGATGGCCATGCCACAATCCCTTCTCCATTCTCCTCTTGGGATCTTGGGCATGCACGTACACGCGCCCGGCGTGAGTTTTAGTCACTGGGTCCGGGACTTGAACTGTGGTCTACTACGTGGGAGTTCAGTGACATAGCCATTACACTAACTGCTGGTCCCCACAGGAATACTTTTTAATGACAAACATTTTTATGACTGTGAAGACCTCTTAATTCTTGAGGAGGGAGGGCTGATTGTGAAAAAACCCAGATCCTGGGTTTTTTTCTGACCTCATTTCATTCTCTGAAGAATGAAGGAATTTCCCACTTTGTATTAAGTTGTGGAATGTGTAACAGTCCTTCTATAGTTGAACCAGATAAATACTAGCAAATGTGTCTAGGATGTGACACTGAAGTTCTTTCTTGTTTTTGTTTTGTTTTGCCAGTCTGAAGCTTGGTTTTACTAGTGAAACCCCAGCAAGCTCCCTTACTTCTTGACTATTCTTGGTATAAGCCTCACTTAAGTTTCTAGGATAATTTTCAGTGCTTAATTTTGTGAGTGGCTCAAGGAGCAATGTATTTCTATTTGAAAACTGAATAAAAGGTGTGTATTGAAAGAAATAGTGTTTTTGTTTTGTTTTTGCCCTAGGGCATATGCACTTGCCAGAGACAATGAGAGAGAAAGTAAGAAATCACCCTCTGGTGGGGTAGCCATGCTGCAGTCCTTTCTCTTCCATTCTCTTGGGATTTGGTGTGGTTTTCAAGCCATCAGGTCTGGGGACCCAAACTAGGGCCATCTGGGAGTCTAGTGCTTTAACCACCATGCCATCTGCTGACCCTATAAAGCAATATTCTTGATCTTTTTGGAAATTACATACTCCTTCTGAAGCATACTCCTCAGGAAAAAATGTATAAAATGCATACAAATAAAGTCTTACATATAAATTTTGTAGGCTCACTGACTCCCAAGTATATTGACTGAGACTCCTTCTGAAGCATACTCCTCAGGAAAAAATGTATAAAATGCATACAAATAAAGTCTTACATATAAATTTTGTAGGCTCACTGACTCCCAAGTATATTGACTGAGTACCCCAGATTAAAAAGCCTTTTTAAAAAAATATAATTACTTATTTTATTTATTCATTCATTTATTTTAATTTGACCAGAGAGAGACAGAGAGAGAGATAATTTGACCATAGAGAGACACAGAGAGCGAGAGAGGGAAAGTGAGAAAGCAAGCCACCAGGTCCAGGACTCAAACCGTGGTCAGCTATGTGGGAGTGTCTAGCACCTTAACCACCACGCCACCTGCTGGTCCCCAAAAAGCCTTTAAAGGAAAAATATTAGGGAGCTAAAAGGTCAGATTTGAGCATCAGTTCTTAAACTTTTTTCATAAATGTGCATTTCATAAATTTGCTAAAAAATGTTTTAGCATGTAAGATATTTTGTTTAATCTCTAAGGTGTAATTTCTCCACTTCATTAATAAAGTATTTGTGGATATTCATAAATGAAATTCTCTGATAATTTTTTTTTATTTTGGAGAGGTTTTTCACTATAGGGCACGTGCGCTCGCCAGACAGAGAGAGACATAGAGACAGAAAGCGAGAAATCACCCCCCAGGGAGGATGGTCACGCCGCAATCCCTTCTCCTCCATTCTCCTCTTGGGATCTTGGGCACGCATGCACATGCGCCCGGTGTGAGTTTTAGTCATACAGACAAGAGAGGCAGAGAGACAGAAAGCAAGAAATTATCCCCCCAGGGAGGATGGTCACGCCGCAATCCCTTCTCCTCCATTCTCCTCTTGGGATCTTGGGCACGCATGCACATGCGCCCGGTGTGAGTTTTAAGCCACCGGGTCCGGGACGCGAATCGCAGTCTACTACATGGGAGTACAGCGACATAGCCATTACGCCAACTGCTGGTTCCCATTCTCTGATAATTTTTAACCTTTGTTTTTTCTACTTATCTTTTTTTTAACCATCAAAACATTTCCTCAGAATTATGAAGGCCAGGGGCCGGCAGGTGGTGTGATGGTTAAGGCGGCTGGACTCCCATATGACTGACCACAGTTCGAGTCCCGCATCTGGCAGCTTTCTTTCTCACTTTCCTTCTCTTTCTCTGCGGTCAACTTCAAAAAAATAAAATAAAATAATGACAATGAATAAAATTAAATAAAATAATTCTTTAAAGAAAAGAATTATGAAGGTTGAAGAATTATAAGATATCTTTTGCTAATCCCAAACTTTAAGTTTCTGTTTCTTTAACCAAAATCTCTTTATGTGTAGTTCTTCTTTCCTTTTTCTACTTTCTGATGTGGGCATTTAGGCATTCTTCTAGGCTATTTAAGTATTTTAGTACATTAATCTTTGCAACAAGTCTGTTAGATGTGTTACTGTCCTCATTTTTTTTTTTGGAGAGTTTTTTTTTTTTTTTATCGTAGGCCACATGCGCTTGTCAGAAAGACAGAAAGAGACAGAGAGACAGAAGTGAGAAATCACCCCCACCCCCCAGGGAGATGGCCACACTGCAGTCATTTCTCCTCTGTTCTCTTGGCATCTTGGGCACGCATGCACACATGCCTGGCATGAGTTTAATTCACTGGGTCTGGGACTTGAACCATGGTGAACTACATGGGAATCCAGCGACATAGCCATTATGCCAACTGCTGGTCTTGTTACTGTCCTTATTTTACAGTTATGGAAAGCAAGACCAAGAAACATTAGATAACTGGATCAAGATCAATTCTGATACATTTATTAGGTAGGACCAGGATTAGAACTCCTGTAAATCCAACTCCAGAGCCCATTTTCTTTCCATCTTACTATCCTTCTATGTGATTAGAACTGGTCATGTATTTCTTGATCACTGGTTTGACCTGGTCTGACCTTAAAACCCAAATTTCCACTAGTGAGAAGTTCTTTATTTTCTTCTATACCTAGCTTATTTTAAAATTAATGAGTTTTTTTGGTTTATAAAGTTAGACTTTGAGGTAGTGAAGTGTCAAGAGTGCTGAATTTACTGGCTAGATTGTTAAACTCACAATTAGGAAGGGAGCTACCTGGATGATCTCTGCCTGTTCTGTTTATAGAAATGGACGTTTCAGATACCGGACTCTGACAGAGACAATTCCAGTGATTGAAAGTTTGTGGATGTCTTGTTACTAAACTTAGCATCATTTTCAGGAAGGAAAAACCCTAATGGTTTGGAACAGAACTGAAAAAGAATTTGAAGGGTAGATAAGCATTAAATATTAACTCGATTAGAGGCCAGGTGTGTATTTCCTACCTCTCCTGGGACGGCCGTGGAGGGGACCCTCCAGGCCAGCTGCCCGGCTGTGTTTGCTGAGATGGCAAGCTGACTCAGCATTCTGTGAGGTAGTTTGGTTTGCCGAGTGAGCTTTGTGAGACTCAGCATCTTTCTTGACAAAATTATTGTTCTTCCAAACCTCGTACTTTTTCTCATTTTAGCCTTTTATACGCAGTAAAACAGGAAGGAGAGTGAGTAGGTTGATTTACTATATAACCTTAGGGATGTATATTTTTTAGTTTGTGTGGATTACAAAAAGCCTTAAGTGAGAGTCTCACTTAAGAAAAAAGTAGATAGGATCTTGAGAGATTAATTGAAATGGGAGAAAGGACGTTGGATCAGGCAATGAAATTTTAGAGACGTGATCTTGCCTTTTAAAAACACCTGGTGACTGAGGAACCTAGTACATATGATGATTAATAGCATTTGACTCCCAAGGTAGTGAAACTTAGTATAAAAGAAAATTAAATGGACTAATTTGGGGATATGGTGTGACACTGGATGTAGACGGAATTATCTTGAGTCATACTTTTTTGGGGTCTTCACAAGTGAAGGCAACGTGTTTTGTGAAATATCTTTTAACAGAATTCTCGTGAGGTTTAAGAGACAAAAGGTACAGTTCAAATGGCAGGATTGTCAAAAGCCCCTTTGATTGTATCGTGTACATGCTTAGGATGAGGAAATCGGACTGTTTAGCTTAAAAAGCTTTGTTTCCTCCTCAGCTTCACCCTCTTTCCCATGAGCTTTTCTGAGGCTGTGTGTGGGATTCTAGCATAGAGGAAGGGTAGGTCCTCTCACCTGTTTCCATTTTTTTTTTCCCCTTGCCATAAGTTCACAAACAGTTTTCCACATTAGGATCTGTAAAAACATAAAGAACTTTCCTGGAACCAGATTAATCTGGGTCTTATGGTTCATACTGTGTGACACTGGAGTGGGGGCAGGTGGGTGGAGGTACAAGATGTTTGGACCCTTCTGGTTTATGGGATTGTCTTTTTCCCTTTTTCCTCTCAGGAACGGCGTGAATGTTGAGGGGGCGACACACAAGCAGGTGGTGGACCTGATCCGAGCAGGCGAGAAGGAATTGATCTTGACAGTGTTATCTGTACCTCCTCATGAGGCAGATAACCTAGATCCCAGCGACGACTCGTTGGGGCAATCATTTTATGATTACACAGAAAAGCAAGCAGTGCCCATATCGGTCCCCACATACAAACATGTGGAGCAGAATGGTGAGAAGTTTGTGGTGAGTGTCAGCCCAACTCGATCCTTAAACACCCAGGCTTTATTTCCCCAGTCTTACCATCGTGAATATATTAGAGCAGTAGGATGAAAGGCTACAACCAGTGCAGTGTGTCTACCAGGAAGATGGCTTCATGCAGAAATAAAAGATACTGCCCTGGTTTATTGCAGAGAGTGAACTACAGTAATCAAGAAGAGTCTTATTTCTGCCTAAGTATAATGCCGTTTTATTTTCAGACAGTTTCAAGTGTGCCTTGTGGTTTGTTGTAAACATGTGTGAGTTTGTTTTGTTTGTTTGCTCTTTCATTAGCTGCCCTTATCTCTTTGCTAATAGCAATTTGATAGCATTTACTGTTGAGTCAATGGAGCTATAGAACAAGATTAATTTGAAAAGGTTAGTATCTGCCAAAATATGTAGGTAATAGAGATGTCCGTCCATTTCGGAACCTGTACATCCCTACACCCTTCTCCACATCTTGTTCTTTTTCATTTTCTTTGGACATACCTGTGTATGAGTAACTGTGGTTTTTCCCAAGGTCCTCGTTATACTCTGAATGCAATTCCCATAAGCTGGTTTACACATTTCCCGCCTGTTGCTGTTGGAGCTGTGTAGGAAAGCCCACCTCGGGTTCCTGGTGAGGTGTGCCAGCCCCCTTCTGAATGTCTTTGTTTGTTCTTTAAAACCTAATTGCCACTGATGGCTTAATCTACTTCATTTTTCTCTTGGTTTTACAGTATGCTTCGTTTGCCTTTGGTTATTTTGGGAGTGTTGATAAAATGAGAAGTGTTCATTATTCTCTGCAGAAAATGCAGTGGGTTCTGTTAGATATTGGCAAACAGACTACAGGTGTTAAAGCTGACCTGCTGACTAAAGTTACAGTTTCTGAAACTGGGTTTGTTCCCTGGGTAGGAATGAGTCACTGAATAGTTATGGTAAGTTTCTTTTGGTGGGGTGATGAGAATAGCGAGGAATCTAGAAAAGTTGCAGAGGGAGCAAGTAATGTTTGATTGTAGCTGTAGGATGACTGAGATGATAGTACATGTTTTTTTTTTTTTTTTAAGAATTATTTTATTTAACTTTATTAATTTTAATTTTACTAGAGAGAGACAGAGTGAGAGAGAGATGCAAAGTGTGAAAGCAAGCTGCCAGGTCCGGGACTCGAACCACGGTCGCCCATGTGGGAGTCCAGCGCCCTTAACCACCACGCCACCTGGTAGCCCCAAGTACATGGGTTTTATATTAGCATGGTCTCTGTATTCTTAGAACTACACACAAATTTTAGGTTTTTTTGCTTTTAGAAGTGCTAACTTGAATTGTAAGGCATGTAAGAAGTTGAAATCAAGGTCAGGTCCTAAAAGTAGAGCAGGTTGGATGTTGAAACCTTCGGGAATTAACTAAGACCTTGGGAAATTCTGTAGACTTGAGGAAAGGAATGAGACTAATTGGTCTTTTTTTTAAAAAAATCGATGTTATTGAGCATAATTTATCTACATTAGCATTTCCCCATAATTTTTTTTTTTTTTTTTTTTTTTTTACTTTTTAAAAAGCTCTTTGCTATAGTTCACATATTCTCCAGAGAGAGAGAGAGAGAGAGAAAGAGAAAAAGTGAGAAATCATTTCTCAGGGTAGATGGCAACTCTGCAGTCCTCTTCCATTCTCCTCTTGGGATTTTGGGAATGCGTGCACATGTGCTTGGCATGTTTATCAAGCTTATAGGTCTGTGACTTGTATCACGCAGTCAGCCATGTGGGATCCAGCACCTTAACCACCATACCACCTGACTGGCCCTGCATTCTCTCATAATTTCTCTACATTAGCATTCACCCAGTTTAGTGGATGTTTTTGACCAATGTACATAGTCTTATAACCGCCCCCACAATAAAGATATAGAACATTTTCATCATCCCAAAAAGTTCCCCTCATGCCCCCTTTGCATTCAGTTCTTTTCCCCATCAGTGCCTTTTCCAACTGGTGATCTGCTTTCTGTCATTCTTACTTGACATTTTCTATAACATCAAATAAATGAAATCATTTTGTGTCTGGCTTTGTTCAGCTAGTGTAGTCCTTTTAAGATTGATAGACATTGTTGTATATATCAATAATCTGTTCCTTTTTAATTGCTGAGAAGTAATCCATTGTATGGATTTACTACAGATTGTTTATCTTTATTGTTGGTGCATATTTGAGTTGCTTCCAGTTTGAGCTATTATGACTAAAGCTGTCATGAAATAATATTAATGTGAAGGTCTTTATGTAGACATATGTTTTCATTTTCCTTGAATTCATACCTCAAAGTGGAATTTGTAGGGTCTTTTGGTCAGTTTTAAGTTTAACCTTATAAGAAACTGCCAAAGTTTCCCAAAGTTACTGTACCATTTTTGTATTCTCATTTGCAGTGGAGAGTTCCGGTTGTTCTATAATCTCTTGAACACTTTGTATTTTCTGTCTTTATTTTAGAGAGATTTTTTGCTATACAATGCATGCGCTCACCAGAGAGATGGAGAGAGTGATAGACAAGAAGCGAGAAATCACCCCCTAGAGGGGCGGCCACGCAACAGTCCCTTCTCCTCTATTTTCCTCTTGGGATTTTGGGCACACATGCACACATGCCTGGTGTGAGTTTTAAGCTACCAGGTCCGGGACTCAAACTGTAGTCGATCATGTGGGAATCCAGCAACATAACCATTATGCCATCTGCTGGTTAATATAGTCATTCTTGTGAGTTTGGTGGTATCTTCTCACTTTTTTTTTTTTTTTTTTTTTTTTTAAACAATAGGATGCATGCACTTGCTTGGGAGAGAGAGAGGAAAAGAGAGAAATCACCCCCCAAGGGGGATTGGCCATACCATAATCCTTTCTCCTTCATTCTCTTCTTAGGATTTTAGGCACATATGCACATGTGCCCGGCGTGCCAGTCAGGATTTGAACTGCATAGTCAGTCATGTGGGATCCAGTGCCTTAATCACCATGCCATCTGGTGGCCTCTATAATGGCTTTATTGAACTATGATTTATACACCATAAATTCACCCATATAGCATTCAGTTTAGTGCTTCTTAGTGTGTTTACAGTGTTGTGCACCCATCATCACAATCAGTTTTACAATTTTACTGCACGTCAAGAAGAAACCCTATAGCCTACTGCTGTCATCCCCAAACCTCCCGTCCATTCCAGCACTGGGCATCCACTGATCTGCTTTCTGTCCTATAGATTTGTCTGCCCTGGACATTTCTTATAAATGGAATCACATGGGTTTTTTGGTGGGTTTTCTGGCATCTTCCATGTAGTATGTTTTCAAGGCTTATCTATGTTATAGCATGTGTTACTACTTCATTTTTATTGCTGAATAACATTCTACTACACAGATACACCACTTTTTTTTTTTTTTTTTTGGTTTGCTTAGGACATATGTTTCTGCCAGAGAGAGAGAGTAAAAGTGAGAAATCACCCCCAAGGGGGAATGGCCATGCTACAGTCCCTTCTCCTCTTGGGATTTTGGGCATGCACACACATGTATCTAGCATGTTTTTCAAGTCGCTGGGTCTGGGATTTGAACCATGTAGTTGGCCATGTGGGATCTAACAGCCCTATCAATCATGCGACTGGCTGGCTCTAAGCCACTTTTTATTCATTTCTCAGTTGATGGACATTTGGGTTGTTTCTACCTTCTGAGTGTTATGAGTAACACCATTATGAGCATTTTTATATACACTTTTATATGGATGTATGTTTTCACTTCTTTTAGATATATACCTAGGAATGGAATTAGCTGGGTTATGTGGAAACTATTTTTTATTTTTATGTATTATTATTTTAAATTTGCTATAGGGCATGTGTGCTCACCAGAGAGAGATGAGAAAGAGAGCAAGAGAGGGAGAGAGAGAGAAGTGGAAAGCAAACTTCCAGGTCTGGGACTTGAACCATGGTTGACCACGTGGGAGTCCAATACCCTAACCTCTGCATTACCTGCTGGTAACTCTTATGTTTAATCTTTTGAGGAACTGCCAAACTGTTTTCCGAAGTGGCTATCTTGTAGTTTTCACTGTTATGTTCAGGTCTCTGATCCTTGTTTTTGTTTTGTTTTGTTTTGTTTTGTTTTGTTTTATTCCAATTGCCAGAGAATGTGTGCTCTGACCAGAAAGAGACAGGAAGAGGGAGAAAATACCTCCCACCTACAATGGGGCATGGTCACACTGCAATCCTTTCTCTTTCATTTCTTCATCCTGTTGGGGTCCTGGGCATGCCCAGCATGTTTTTCAAGCTGTCAAGGTTGGGATTTGTTCCACACAGTTAGCCATGTGGGACCTGGCTCCCTTAACCTCTAGGCTGCAGGGCCAGCCCCTGTGATCCATTTTAAGTTGTTTTTGTATACTGCATGATATGAGGGTCAAACTTCTTTTTTTCCCCCCATATGGATATCTAGTTGTTTCAGCAACCTGTATTGAAAAGGATATCTTTTCCCACATTGAAATACCTTGGTATAATTGTTGGAAATTATTTGGCCATATGTGTGTAGTTCTGTTTCTGGAGTCTTTAGTCTACTTCATTGATTATATGTCTGATCATTTCAACATTTGTATCATTTTAAGGTTGGCCTCTCTTAAAATATTTTTTCTTTTTCTTTTTCTCTTTTTTTTTTTTTGGCGAGGGAAGGTTTTTGCTATAGGGCATGTATGCTCACCAGAAAGAGAGAGAGAGAGACAGAAAGTGAGAAATCAACTCCCGGGGGGATGGCCATGTCGCAATTCCTCCTCTTTTATTCTCCTCTCAGGATCTTGGGCACACACACACATGTGCCTGGCATGAGTTTAAGCCACCAGGTCTGGGACTTGAACCATAGTCGACTACATGGGAGTTCAGCGACAGAGAGATTACGCCAACTGCTGGTACCAGAAATGTTTTTTCTTTTGAGAATGGGTCCTCCTGGTTCTTTATATACTGGGAATTTTGGATCATACCCTAGATATTGTGAATGTTACATTGTGTACTCTGGGTTCTGTAAAT